TTCATCACATTTATATGAAACAGACCAGAACTGTCATGAAATAACTTTTCCCCAAAGAGATGGGTTAAATTATTGCCTGTGGGGCTTTTGTTTTTAATGGATAGCTGAGAAAGCCTACAGTTATGGAAAATTCAATACCTACAGTGTCTAATAACTGGAAAATGGTTAGAATATGGTTCCTTAGAACAGGTAGTAACGCTTTTTTTAATACCTTAAATTGTTTGATGACAGCAAGTTCCTCCTTGTAGAGGAGTCTTTTCCCAAGAAAGAACTTTTTGAATGTAAAAGAATCAGTTTCTTGTTTTTGTTATGCTTACTGTAAATGTTGTGGGAAACACTTGTCATTGCTATGCACCTTCTCTGTGGGGGAAAAAAAACGTGCATGCTCCTAAGGTCTGTTACATCTGCTTGGTGAAAAACCTTTCTCTTGTAATTTTGTGTTAGTTTTTTCTGCAATGACTTCCCTTATTAGGTAGCTCCAGTACTTTCTGGGGTTTGAATCATACACTATAGAAAATCTGGCTTTTTAGCATCCTTTTACCGTACTGTCCAACTTACAAACATTCAGGTTGCAAACTTCCATAAATATGAATTGACTTTTCATTTGGAACATTTGCAAATACAAACAGATTACAAAGTAGTGGTTGTTTGCCAGTGTCTGCCAGACATTGTCACAGCTGTGCTGCTGTGTGCTTACTGTACAGTGGGATACTGTACAGTAGTACAGTGCTCAATCAGAGCCCAGGGTGTCCAAAAGCAAGGGGAAAAGCAGCAGCGATGTTGAAGTTTAGTTTTTTTTCTAATGGTTTTTGTTGATATTTGTGTCAAAGGTATGTAAGAGTCACGTTGTTGGACTTATGAATGATTCTGACTAATCAACATTCTCCTAGAATTGGACTGGTGTTTAAGTTGGGGACTTTACATTCCTTGGCTCATGGAAGATGTTTGTATCCAGGACCCAGGCAGGAGAACTGGGTCATTCCACTACTACTAGTCATCATTCTGTGTCGAACTGCTACTACTACTTTTCTAAAGGAAGTTCACTTAAATAAAATTAGAGTTTACAAATAATTAATAAGGCCACACATATCTGAGCCAGACATGACTGTCTGTCGGTGTCGTTTCAGGACTGTGTCTTCAGAGTCAGTTTGTCGTCTCTTGGATGTAGAAGGAGGCTGTGGGGCCTATACACATACAGCAAATGATGGTGATACTGTACTTGTTAGAAATTCCTGTTCTTCCTGTAGGACTCAGTGGAACTGTCACCTCTTATTTTAAGCTTTCTTCCCATTTTTTTACAGCTTCTTCTCTGTTGATCCTACTTGACTACCTTTTTTTCTTGTAAACTGTTACATACTCCAAAGAGATAATTCTTTTGTATCGTAGTGCCTAAGTCAAAATATGGAATAAAGTTGATTGATGAGTTAGTAAAGAATAAAAATCCTTGTACCTTCTTCATTTTCTCCATTTTCTTTTTGTTATGGTTCTGGTAATGATCCTATCTGAAGCTGGGTTCTGGGGCAGAAATGGCAACTTCAATGCTAGGAAGTTTGTGAGTACTTTGTTTTTGAAGCATATTTCATATCTGAAAAGGACATATTCTAAGAACTACTTCAGACTCCTTCACTCACCACACGCACTCCAGACCGCATATGTACATGGACCTGGTGGTACAGTTCAGCGTGGCCTCTTGCCTGAACAGAGAGACACGGTGAACACGAGGTGTGTGAGGCTGCTGCCACTGTGAAATGCCTCTTGGTCTGTAGTAACCTTTTTTTATAAGTAGGAATACCTCTAAAATAGTAATTTAAAAATAGCGTAGTAAATTCACAGGCCAAAAAGACAGTTGTGATTTTCATCAAGTTATGTGCTGTGCATAGCAGTCAGTGCTGCTGTATGACAGGCAGTATACTGGGTTTATCTTTGTCAGCATCACCACCAGCGTGAGGAGAGTGGTGCCTGACTGTAGCCGCTCTCCTCCTAACGCCTGTCTGAAGTCCTGCTGTTGTTTCTGTCTCCAGGAAGTGCAGCGCTGTACGGCTGATATGAACATCACTGCAGAACATTCCAATCATCCAGACAACAAGCACAAAAACAGATACATCAACATTTTAGCATGTGAGTAATAACCCTTAAACCATCTTCAGCTTTGAGGAAATTACATTTTCTTGCTTGGATGTAAGCTGAAAGCCGAGAAGTCAAGATCAGGACGCGAAGCGCGCTTCTTGCAAGCTGACCTCTCATGAGCCTCTCTCCTGCAGTGCAGCAGAACAGCGGACATTTTCCGTCCTCTGGTTTTTCCTTAAGCTGTCAGGTGGGGAAGAGCTTAATAAGGTGACTATAAGCGGTGTTCTGCACTGTGTCCACATGAAGTGATACCGAGTTCTGGAACCAAAGTTGAAATGTCACTTGGGTATCTTGACATTTTTTTTAAACCAGTGAGAGCCACGTCTTTTTAATACAAACAGAAATTTGCAGAATTGAATTAAGTAAGCTGCATTTCAAAGCAGTTGTGTGCACGTGTGTGTGTGTGTGTGTGTGTGTGTGTGTGTGTGTGTTTCCCAGGGCATTCATTCTGAGCTACATTTTAAAATTTTTGAGACAGGGCCTTGCTAAGTTGCCTAGGTTGGGTCTGAACTCAGAATCCTTCTGCCTCAGCCTCCCAGCGTGTTGGGATTGTAGGTATGCACTACCAGGCCCAGCTTTCGAAGCAGTCTTTCTAAGACTATGTAATTGAGCCTTCCTTTTGGTCCTTACCTTTAGCCATTCCCATGTATTTTCAAGGTCAGGCGTACCTGGAAGTTCCAGACTCGGACAGACAGGCAGTCTCCAAATGGAAGCTGAAGGAACAGCTTAGGAACACAGACTACTTGTGTGCCGAGAAGGCCACTGCATCAACATGTCAGGCTTGCACCGCTGCCAGATAACGCAGACTGAGCATCACTGATCTGCATCCCAAAACTCTGAAATCTGAAACTGCCCGAAAACTGACATGGTGCTCAAAAAATTCCCTACTTTGGAGCATTTCAGATTCCAGACTAGGGATGTTTAACCAGTAAAGTCTGTGCAAATTATTCCAGTATCTTTTGTCCCAAGCACATCATAAAAGGAATCCTCAAGGTATCTTTGCTTTGATATGAAAGGTAGAGGCACCGTTGTTTTCGGGCCAACACGCATTATGGTAAGGACCACATTACACAGAATTTCAAATAATAGTGAATTTACATTGGACAACGTAAAGTTTGAACCCTACTGTACAATTCTGTTTAATAAAGTAAAATAGAATTCATACAATGTAAGACCATACCCATGTAACATAGAATTCACTGGCTTTTAATATACATTCAGAGTTGCAAAACTGTAACTGCAATGGATTTTGGAATATTTTTAGTGTCACCAACAAGAATCCCACATGAATTAGCAGCACTCCTAATTCCTTCCTCTACACCAGCCCCCTAGAAACCCTGACCTGTGTCCTGTCTGGGCTTTGCACAGTCTGGACATTTCATGTGAGATTACATAATCTGTGACCTTTCGTCTGGCTTGCGCCACTTAGCATAACATTTTAGATTTGTTTATGTCATACTATGTCCACTACTCTAATAGTCCATTTAGACTGCATGGGTAATAACATTGTGGTTAATCATTTATCAGTTGATAGCCACTTTTTGGCTACTATGAGTACTGGTGCTCGGAACATTCATACACAAGGCTCTATACAAATTTTTATTTAGAGACAGTCTTGCTAAATTGCACAGGCTGGCCTTGAACTTGTGATCCTCTTTCTTCAGCCTCCCAGTGTGCTGGGATTGCAGCTGTCCATCACCAAGCCAGACTGGTAACTGTCATTTTTTTCCTAAAAATAATACATTTTGGGGAAGTATGAAACTGTTTTCCAAAGCATGTGTTCCATTTTACATTCCTACAGCAATATATGAGGGTGAGAAGTCTCCGCGTTCTGCCAGTACTTGTTTTCTGGTTTGTTTTTCAGGTTTTTGTTTGATAACAGCCCCTAAATGTGTGTGGAGTGGTATCCCACGGTGGCCGATCTGCACCTCCCTGATGATGAGGGGCGTCCAGCATCTTTTCTTGTGTTTATTGGCTACTTGCCTCTCAAGAAATGCCTCTTTTAATCTCTTTCCCTTGTCATCTTTCACTGAACAGTCATTTTACTGTTGAGATAGATGACATCTTTGTATATTCTGAGGACAGATTCTATATAACTGGCAAAAATTATTCTCTGATTCTTTGCATTGTCTCTTTCAGTTTCTTAATGGGGTCCACTGAAACACAGAGTTTTAACATTTTGGTGAAATCAACTTACATAGTTTATCTAAGAAAGCATTGCCCAATTCAAGATTTACTCAATTCTAAGAATTTTGTAATTTTTAGTTCTTAGTTTTTGATCTGTTCTGATTCAATTTTGATACTTAGTCTGAGGTAGTAGCCCACCTTTATTCTTTTCTTTCCTTTTTGGCAGTGCTGGACATTGAACCCGGGGCCTTGAGCATGCTAGGCAAGTCCTGTACCCCTGTGCCACAATTCCAGCCCACCTCCCCTTCATTCACTTGCATGTAGATACCCACGTGCTCAGGGACCCTCAGTGGAAGACTTTCTTTCGCCATTCAGTTGTGTTAGCCTTCTTCGAAGATCAGCTAACCAACATGCAGTGGATTGTTTCTGGGATCCCACTTCTGTTCTGTTGATCTGTATGGCTTTCCTCCACTCACCAGTATTTCACTCTGTAGATTACAGACAGCTTGGTGACAAGTTTTCAACTTGGGAACTATGAGTCCTTGGAGGACTTGTCAGTCTTCTTTTTCAAAACTGTTTGTGCTATTCTGGGCCCCTTGGGTTCCCATATGAATTTGGGAATAAACTCATGGACTTTGCTAGTGACTACTGTACAGTGAATCTGCAGACTGATTTGAGGATGACCTTCACTGTAACAGTACTATCCCCCAATCCATGAAGGTAGATATCTTCCCACATATGCAGGTTTAATTTATTCCTAAGTGTTTTATTCTTTATAATGCTATTGTAAATGAATTGTTCGCTTAATTTTCAGATTGCTTATACATTTGAGACAGGCTCAGCAGCATATACCTGTAATCACATATGCTTGGGAGGCTGAGACAACAGGATCGCAAGTTGAAGGCCGGCTAAAGCAATTTAGGGAGACTTTGTCTCCAAGTAAAACTCAAAAGGACCACATGTAACTCAGCGGTTCCCAGATGTAACTCAGAGTACTTGCCTAGACTCCAGGAAGGCCTGGGTACTATCCCCAGTATTGCCAAAATAAAGGAACGTGACTGATTTCTGTGTATTGATCTTATGTCCTTCAACCTTGCCAAAGCTATTAATTTTTGTGAATTCTTTTGGGATTTTATATATGGGATGATATCATCTGTGAACAGAGATAATTTTATTTCTTCCTAAAGTTTTAAAAGAATTGTAGCTTACTTTTTGAATAGGACTTTCTTTCACTTCTCTAAAAAAGTAAAGTAGAGGTTTAAAAAGGAGAGAGGGAACAAGGAAAAGTCAGTTTTCCTTTTTGCTCACCTCGTTCTCTCCCCTACTGCAGCCTTAACTTCTAGGGACCTCTCCCGCTTTGGCTAAAACTAGATGGCAAGAGAGAGATGGAAAATCAAAGTGACTTGAGTGGGATGCACCCAAAGGTCATGGTGTTTGGCTGGAAATGTAGTCCCTCTGCTTCAATGTAGATTTACTTTCACAAATTCAAATTAGATAGTTTTATTTTCAGAAGTTCAGAGGGTTGAGTTTTGACCAGTCAAAGTTTGGGCATATCATGTGTCACTTCATTTTCCCCCTATTATATCGATGCCTTTATGTAGTGAAGAATAGCATAAACATGTCAAGGAAACAAGTAAAATCACACTATAATTGTGCCAGAAACATGATGTAGGACAACCCTGCTATACTAGGGCCAATACAAGTTTCAGGACATACATGGATGTTACCACACCACTTCCAATACTTATGCAATGTGAATTTTACAACTTGGAATGGCTACTAAGACATAGTGGTTTATATCCAGAGGCCTAAAAAGAAAATTTTTATTTGGAGCATATTACAAAATTTTCATTTTTAATAGGCAGCTTATTTCCTATCAACTGTTGATGTTGTTTCTTAGAACAGCAAAAACAAGCAAGTCACAATTCCAAGACTATAGGTGGCTTTCTAGAAATGCTTTAGTGTAATCAGAGGTTGGTAATGTCTAGGCCAGCTCCTCAAATTGATTTCTTTTTGAATTAGCCTGTTATGGTAAGAACTAAACAGAAATATACATTGGCCTTTGCCCGTTCTCTTCCTCACTAGGTAAAATGAAAGTAACAGCTGTGCTTCCTTTTATTGTTCTTACTGTTCTAAAAATCCAGGCTCGCTCTGTTGAACAAGTACAGACACATAGAATGCTCTACCTCTTCCTTTGTTCCTAAACTAAGGAAAAGTGAACCTTAAAATCTGGGCACTGACTTCCTGTGATGAGATTGCTAGGAAATGAAGTTGTACTTCCTTCAGTCACATAGGTTCTGTGGAAGTGGCAGAGAGTCTGTCTGAATTTAGCAAGGGAATCTCCTGAAAAAGAAGTGTTCTGGACCTCACATAACAGCTGTCTTTTTTATCTATCTTAATGGAAAGTGGAGGGGTGGCTGGCTAACTGAAGGCCTTTGAACATGGTTTCAAAAAAGAAAACAATGAAATTTTGGAGGGTTGCAACTTGCAGTAGTTTTACACAAACTAATAGGGACCTGAATCCTCTGCCCCGAGGGCACCCCCATCCCAGTGTGAGACAGCAGTAGTTCCACGTCTTTGACATGGGTTTAAATGTGCTATTTAGTACCTATTCTGCCAAAAGTAGAATGCCAGGGCATCCTGGGAGATGCCACATGATATGACTGCCTTGTTTTGTGTTCAGAATGCTACTTTTGAAAAGCCTTAAGTTCTTACCTATTTGTTTTTGCCTCCTTGTCCTCTATAGATGATCACAGTAGGGTGAAGTTAAGACCTTTACCAGGAAAAGACTCTAAGCACAGCGACTACATTAATGCAAACTATGTTGATGTAAGTCAGAAATGTTTTTACAAACCTGTTTCTGAAAACTGAGAACTGCAGCAGAAACTTGTTGAATGTATTTTAATACCACACAGAGCTTTCACTGAAAACGCAGCCTACTGAGTGTGGAAGATGCTTGAATTACTAACTGGTCTTCTCTGATAACTATGTTCATCTCACTTTGTGCTGTGTCATCTTTGAAGGGTTACAACAGAGCAAAAGCCTACATTGCCACCCAGGGACCTTTAAAGTCTACATTTGAAGATTTCTGGAGGATGATTTGGGAACAAAATACTGGAATCATTATCATGATTACAAACCTTGTGGAGAAAGGAAGAGTAAGAGTCTCTTGACTTTCTATCTTAATGATCCACCTTCATTCACAAAATACTGATGCAGTACCTGCTGTAGAATAGGAATTTGACCCACTATAAATACTTACAGAAATGAAAAGTGTTTTGTCTGCTTTTATCTTGGTTATGGTCTGCTGGGAAAGGAACTTCAACATTACAGGTGTGAACTCAATGTGATGACAGAAGTGTGTTTGACTTTCATTAGGAGGATGTTAAAGGAGCTAATATTTTGAGGACAAAGTGAAATAATGAGGAGAACGAGTTAAACAGGCAGGTAAAAGGGAAGGGAAGGGACATTCTAATTTCAGAAAACAGGAAGAGCAAAAAGCAGAGAAGTTAGAAGATGCATGGAACAGTAAAGAAATTACCCATAGTTATTTAGGGGAAGCAGAGACTGCTTTATACACCTCAACCATGATGAAGATCTTTGTTAAAACAAAATGATTAAGGCTATAGAATGTATTGGACTTGAGCTTATATTCGACAGTGGTGACTTAGCTAGGCCTTAAGTTCACTGCTCAAAAATCTCTACCTCTTTACTTGCACTGTGGAGTCCTTATTTTGCCTTTGGTAACCCAAGTTGTAACAGAGATTCCCCATTACCAAAGACCTTCAGAGACCCAGCCAGGCCTCTCAAATGATAGTTAAACTCCCTTTAGAATACATCCTACTCACGTTTTATGCATGTTTACCTCTTAGACCTTCTGTAAAGGACATCACATAACTAAAAATGCCCATAAGCGAGACACCCACTTCTCAGATGATCTTGCTCAAATTCCCCCTGGCCATGAAGTTCTTCAGAGGTCACATCTGCCCGTGTATTTATTTTTTCAGTCAAATAAGTGACATTCTTTTTTGTGGTTTAACATTATCATTTGGAATTTATAACTTTTCTCCTTTTGCAGCGAAAATGTGATCAGTATTGGCCAACAGAGAACAGTGAGGAATATGGAAACATTATTGTCACACTGAAGAGCACAAAAGTACATGCCTGCTATACTGTTCGTCGTTTTTCAGTCAGAAATACAAAAGTGAAGAAGGTACTGAGGAAGCTGGGTGGCCCACCAGGGCATGTCTTTTTATACTTGTATGAAAATTACTATACAGCAAAGATGGAATCTCATAATTTCATAACTCTCTTAACTGACATCAGTGTATGGTGTGAAATATATGTATGGCCAGAGCACACAGTAGAATTTAATTGGCCTAGGGGATGGGGATTTAGCTCAGCGGCACAGCGCCTGCCTGGCAAGTGCAACATCGTGAGTTCGATTCCCGGTACTGGGAAAAAACAAAACAAAACAAAAAACAAATAATTTAATTGGCCTAAGTTCTTTATTCTCCTCATAAACAAGTCTTCGTTAAAAAAGAAAAAAAAAAAAAAACTAGGCATCTTCTTAGGTTTTGGTAACAATCAGCAAATATAGCAGCATCTGTTTGTTGATTTAGCTTTTTAATTTCGATTTCCTGACAGTTTTAAAGCATTGTTTCCCAAAGAGTATTTCAAGGAACACTGGTGCTACAAGATACTTCTAAACTTCTGCTATCCAATAAGAATGGGAAGTAAATGCAACATAATATACGTCCTCTGTTAGAGATGCATAGTGAACACGAGTGTCCAGAGTGTGGGAGTTATGAAACTTGGATGTTTTTCCTAGTGTTTTCTAATGTGGCTTAACCATAAAATATGTACACTAAGTATAGCAGTGCATGTAATGCCAGTTCTCTGGAAGACTGAGGCAGGAGGATTGCAAGTTCCAACTCAAATGGAACAACTTAGTGAAGTAATTTTTAAGTGGCTGTGGCTGTTTCTGAAGACTATAATCTCAGTCTGTAAGAGTACCAGAAGACAAAACAAAATTTCAAAAGTGTACAAGTACAAATACACCTTCTCTGGAGAGCTAGTGATATCCTGAGAATCACGCTGTATAGAAATGCTTCTTTCATGTCATCTCAGCCTGTTTTTTTTTTTCAAGTTCCACTGTCACAGCAGGAATCTTAGATCACCACAGCAATATCTGAACTCTAGGTAGATGCAAAGAAAGATGATGTGACTGCTCTACAGACAGATGCGGCTGTTGTTTGTGGGATCTGTTTTTATTCTTTGTTTTGGGGCATCTTGGACTTCTAAGAACTTCTAAAAATGTGATAAAAATAGTAACCTCATTGCCCCAGAAGAATTCACATTTACTCAGATTCCACTCAGGAGCCCAGAGCCCAGAAGTGCATACTAAGGTTAACGGTCCTTTCTGTGTGTAGTTATTTCCAGAAATGGCAGAAATACATGAAAATCGGTTGCACTGGGCCAGGGATATAGCTCAGTGGCATAACCACCTGCCTGGCAAGTGCAAGGTCCTGAGTTCGACCCCAATATCAAAAAAAAAAAAGATAAAAATCAGTAGCACTGTATCTGTACACTGTCATAGAGCTATTGGTTAGCTAAAGATACCCAATTAGCACTATAAAACTGATAAAGCCCACTTCTCATGGGAACCCTTCCGGTAGGTAAACAGGCTTGCTCAACCATCCTTTGAGAACTGCTTAAGTAGTCAGAACTCAACTGAGAACTGTAGCTACTCTACATACTGGCAAAAGCAAAATGCAGAAAACTGAGTTAACACATTGGAGAAACTGTCGCAGGCATTTGTAGAGAAAGGCCGGACACCCTTCCAGTCTCAGTGTTGATTCTTGACCCTGAGTCATAAAAAAAATTGTCAGAGGCATTAAAACATCAGAAAATGTCATAGCCGCTGGTGTGCTGGGGACTTTTAAAAAAAATTATTTGCATTTATTCATGACTGTATTTTCCTTCCTCAATCTTTGTTTCTTCAGTTTCTTTTGAGATGTTTTTCTCTCCTGTTTAATATCCTCTTCCAGCACAGGAACAGTTTGTTCCTTTCAGGGAGGGTCTTCTCCGTGTGGCAGAGAGCTCTTTTAGTCTAACAGTGCATCCTGGGTACTTCACCTGCGCATGTTCAATGACCAGGGAATCTACTGCTGAGCCCCACATTGTGCCTTACTGTCTGCACCATTAAGTATGTGTGGCAAAAATGCAGCACTCTTTTTAGGCCACAGCCCTGCATCTACTCCTAGTCTTTGACCTGGGCACACCTACGACATCCACCACTGTAACAATGAATGTCACATATTGCTTTTAGAAAGTGACATCTTTTAGATGGTGACATTTTAAATATGGATACCCTTAATAGCCTGGGCATTTTCACAGGTATTCTTAAAGTGAATATGAAAATGTGAATGTCTTGATTTACATGATTTTGTGGGGGATCCTGGGTTGTTAAGAGTAGCAAATCATTTTCACAGAATACCTCACACAACTTTCAGGAATAGCTATTTGGGGACTTTTTCATCAGAAGTAGTACAAACATAAAAAAGGTCAGTCGGTTAAAGGAAAACTGCTCTGAAAAAGTTATGTATGAAACTGATAGATAAATGAGACATTGCCTCTGGAGATGGAGTCTCACTCAACACTTAGGTTCTTCCTGGCGAGTACAGAGCAGCAGCTAGCCTGCCCGCATTCCTGATCCTGATGGTATCCAGCCTGAACGGTGGAAAAGGGGAATTTTAGCCCATAGGCAGATAAAAGCCGAGCACAAAGTGGGTCAGACAGTAAGGAAATGGAGGCCCTGTATGCAAACCACAAAGTGCTCTTCACAGTCCTAAGTCCAAAAACCAGTATTAAAACGTCCATCTGCGGTAAAATCTGAATCTCATCTTCCAAGAGATAGTGATGCTTCATATCCAGCTATCCATGAATGTTAACCACAAATGGCATGAATGCCGGTCACAAAGAAGAGACAAGCTAGCCGGAGTCATGAGATCAAAGTCTTATTTCCTAACCCTTTACGTTGTACTGAGCAGAATGTTCATCCTTGGATTAAAGATGCCTCTTTACACCTTTCTCCTAGGGCCAAAAGGGAAATCCCAAGGGCCGTCAGAATGAAAGAGTAGTGATCCAGTACCACTACACTCAGTGGCCTGACATGGGAGTTCCTGAGTATGCTCTCCCGGTCCTGACCTTTGTGAGGAGATCCTCAGCCACCAGGACGCCAGACATGGGCCCTGTGTTGGTACACTGCAGGTAGGGCTGGCCTCGTCTTTATTCTGCCAGAAGTGGGACCTTCTGAACTTGGACCCCAGAAACGCTGTTCCTGCTTTGCTTGACTTGGAGGGCATTCCTCCTCTGAAAACTGGGATAAATCAACCTGTGACAGCCTTTGAATCCATCTTTTTAATAAAATCCCTGTTGTTGTTGTTTTTTTTCCAAGAGAAAAAATAATAAAAACAATGGTGTGCAAGTGCAAAACATGATGATAGGAGATTAACAATGGTTAGTATATTGTGTGTTATCTTCAAAGTAGTTGCTCAGAGTACAAGATATAGGCATGAAAAATTGATCAAACAATATAAGTACAAACCGTTCTTTTTAATAAACTAATAGAAATTAGTAGTATAATTATCTTAGCTATCTTGTGTATATATATATATATTTTTCTTTTCCCTGCCTTCTTTTCTCCTTCCCCCCATCCCAGTTGTTCTTTCCTTTTGAGCAGTTTCTTCCCCTTTTACAATATCTATTATACCTTTTGTATCTTACTTTTTCAGTTTTTACATTAGGGAGACAATATGATGTTTACACATGTGAGTCTGATTTATTTCACTTGTGAGTATGGTCTCAAGTTATATCCATTTACCTATAAAATCTTTGTGTTTGTCCTTCTTTGTAGCTTAATAGTACTCCATTGTATAAAAATACCAAATCTTGGGGCTGGGGATTTAGCTCGGCGGCAAAAGCGCCTGCCTGGCAAGCGCAAAGTCGTGAGTTCGGTTCCCGGTACCGGAGAAAAACCAAAAAAAAAAAAAAAAAAAAAAAAACCAAATCTTTTTTATCCATTCCTCAGTTGATAGGCATTTGGATTGTTTCCAAGATGTAGCTAGGACAAATTGTGCTGCTATAAACATGGGTGTACATATGAAATCCCTGTTTTTTGTAGAGTAATTGTAGGTTTGCCCTAATAAATAAAAATAAGAACTTATAAGCGTTTTCAGCACCAGAGATTCTGAGTTTTTGTGCATGGCTTTCCTGAAGGGTTTCTCTAAGTAATTTATAGTACATATGACATGATTTCTTAAAGAATTTCTAGTTTATACATACTATAAAAAATACCTTTCTAAAAAGCACTGGGAAAGCCTGGTGTAAAGTGTATTTCCCCTCCACTAAAACAACTTAAATGGTTGTTTGAAAGTGCTTTTCTTATTCTGTAGTTGACGGTGCAGCAATGCATAGCAGTTTCTAAGCATTTCTTTTGGACTGTTCTTGTAATATGAGCCTTTACAAAAGCCAGAACACATCTTCTGCTTAGAATCCTGTAAGAATTCTGCTTTTTCACGGGTAAATTTAATAAGCACTAAGTAGATATGTCTATCACACAGCCTGGGTATTGCGCGAGATAGGAAACTTTCTGGGGCATTCTGCCAAAACACTTCTTACTCAATATTACAGAATTTAGATCTGAGTATTTTTAAGATAACAATTAAGGAATATGAAATAAAGAAGCTGAATTTTCTAGATATAGCATTCTTATACCATGATTAAAAAGTAAAATATCACCTTAAATAGGAATTTTCTAATACTGAGAACATCAGCTTCTTAGCTGCATGCAACAGCAGCAGACTGAGAAGAGTACAGCAAAGGGGTTTATTAAGAGGACAATGACTACTCGCAGAATCACTGGGACACTCGAAAAACAAAGCATGAGGGTGACCAGTGAGGAGGCCTGGTTCTGGTGTGGGGATGGCTGCCGCTGCAGACACTTCAGAGGCCCAGGATCGCTGACTGCGTGCCAAGCAGGCTGAGAAATCAAGGAGACATCACCTGTCTCCCAGCTTCTGCAGCGAAAAGGCACCTGTGCTTCTTGTCAAACTTACGAAGTAGAACTTACCTAATGAAGTTTATCTATGTGTATCTTAAGTCATTCATACTAGATTACCTAGACATCACAGTTATTTCTAAGTTCCTTATGCATTTAGATTGCAGCTTTTCCAGCCCTTGGCTTAAAAGTTCTAGCTGAGTGCCTTTATTTCTTACAGTGCTGGTGTGGGCAGGACAGGCACTTACATTGTAATAGACAGCATGCTACAGCAAATAAAAGACAAAAGCACAGTTAATGTCCTGGGATTCCTGAAGCATATCAGGACACAGCGCAACTACCTCGTCCAGACTGAGGTAAGGACTGGTCCTCATAAGATGCCAGCACATGCTTACCCTGAAGGGTGAGTGGATGAGAAAAACATTCGTTCCCTTAGGATTTAAAGGAATGGAGAAGTGTGGAGTAAAAGATATCCCGACCATGATCTGTTTGCAGGTCATAATTACCATTTCTGATTGAACTTTAGCATTTGGATTGCTCAATAACTACACATTTATGCATCAGATACAGTTCTATTAGATGTGATAAGGAGCTAGATATGTTTTTAGGCCTCAGAGGAACACCGTTCCTAGCACAGTATGGAATACAGAGGAAACTTAACATAGTCACTACCCTAAAAAAAATTAAGATGGATAGGCAAGTGAGTATTGAGGCAAACCTCCTAGTTGCTAACGCTTGTAGGAATTCACTGGGAGGTCGCAGTTGGTAGACCTCATGGACTGTGGGTTACCCCTTAAGAGCGCTCCTGATGACTCCCATTTATTGCACCTTCTAGGAGCAGTATATTTTCATCCATGATGCCTTGCTGGAGGCCATTCTTGGGAATGAAACTGAAGTATCTTCAAATCAGCTGCATAGCTATGTTAACAGCATCCTTATTCCTGGAGCAGGAGGAAAGACACGACTGGAGAAACAATTCAAGGTAGTGCTTTGACTAACTGCTTTAGTATAAAACAAAATTGCAGAGAAATGCCCTGGAGTTTGGGGTCTTAATAGCACTAATGTCAGCTTGATATGAACCTCTCCTCATTTTCCTTCTCATTACATTTAAGGAGTACAAAACCACCCCCACCAGTATTATTAACATTCAAGTAGAGAGTACCATGCTATTTCTCCTCCTGAGCAGTTTATCGTTTAACCCAAACATTAACATCCTCTAGCCACAGTGACATAAGACTTGGAGTCAGTGGTAGTCAAAAAAAATTGTCTTTTTTCTAGACTATTGGATGATACCTTTGTCAAGAAGGGTTATTTGTAGACAGGTTGTCCTCAGAATACACCTGTTTCAAAAACTATTGTAGAAAATAATTTAAAATGCCTTTTAAATGCTACTAAATCCAACAGTACTCTAGGAGAGTTATCTTTTCCTGAAATAGTTATTCTTTTTCTTTGATAGGGGCATGAAGAAGTTCAGAGATAGTTAAGGTCCATATGGATTAACTGACATGAAGTTGACAGAGTATAAGGACTATTAAAGCAATTAAGACTGGAAAAGCTTGAAGAATTAACTGTAACTTTGAAATGGGGTCTTTCCAATTGCTAAGTACTTTCTTATTCATTAGTTTTTCATTATCTTTTCAGTTCTATTTTCTTGGATACTGTGGTATACACAGGTAATTTCCCATTTTGTGTCAAGATTGAAAGGATGAGAAAAATCAGTATAATTTTACTTTTCATGCAAAAGCTTCCAGTAGACTCTGAAACCTTCATTTGAATCTCAACTAAAGAAATGAGACTGCTAAGCAAATTACATTAACAGATATGAAATGAAAAACATTATTTTTACTGAGTTTAGTCCTAACAATCATTTTAAATGTCTGGCTGTCCTCTTAACATTCTAGCTACTGTAAAATCACTGGAGATAATAATAACAACTTTTAAAATGTATCATTTTAAATGTTTTAAAATGAGTCCTTACAAAATAGTACATAGCAACATTTCTTAATTCTTCCTCCTTTTTTCATTTCTGCTGCACAAATTCAACCAAAATTTTTGGACTGTATGGAAGTTTCACCATGAATACTAAAGCAACACAGGCTCATCTCATTTTTTTCCATCTTAAAAAATTACACACATATAAAATAATGTGCAGAAAAACTTAAATGCTGCAAACTTTAAAACTTTGAGTGCCAACAATATGCCACAAACAGAATATTCCATACCATGAAACTTTATTTTATGCAGAAAATTATTAAAAATGTATATAAGATTATCTTCAGGCTATTTATATATGAAACATAAATTTCCTGTCTTGACTTGATTTCCGTCCCCCAGACAGCATATTTATGCAAATATTCCAGTCTCCCAAAGAATAAGACATTCTGCTGGTCCAAGCATTTCAGATAAGGGATACTTAACTGTTTGTTTTTGTTTACACATACAGTACTTTAAGAATAGAAAAATTCATAGAATAAATTTATTTAGTTGGTAATCAGGTAATGACTCTTTTTCCAGTACTAAACATTTCACAATTCAAACAAAACAATCAGAAACTCAAAAAGGAAAACGACTTCTAGGGCCATGACAGTAGCAATAAAGCTCACTATTCCTATATTGCTACATTAAAATAGACTGCCTGCACAAATCACCACAAAAAATAGTATTAACAAAATGGTTCAATACTTCCTATATATAGGAAAATAAATACACTACTGGGCTGGTCATTTATAATGCCCTTACCACAGTGAAGGTGAACCTTTTAGAGTTTTCCCTGATAACAGACAGCCCACTGCAGCATGAGTGCCATAGGTTTGCTGCCACTGCCTTTGAACAACCTCAGTTAAACAGAAAAGTATGAAGAAGCTATTAAGTTCTTTACCTTCTGGGAACATCATTAACTCCTAATAGCATTAGGCTTTTCTAGTATAGGCACTCTAACATCTTGTGTGCCACTCAGGAATTAAAGACAAAATCCACATAGTTCAATCAACATTGCACACCCAGTACTGGTATTCCAGGAGCCTCGTGCCTGACAGAAGTTACACAAGGGCACAATCAAGATCACTAACACAGGTACCACCTAGTAAGGTATGAGAGCACTCTTTTCACCAAAAAATGTGTGTGTTGGGTAATAATCTGATTATTGGTATTGTTCCCAATTGTGAAAACAGGTGCTATCAATTATGACCTTGAATGAAAACTGAAATGTCACTTTTCTTTTAGCTCGTCACACAGTGTAATGCAAAATACGTGGAATGCTTCAGTGCTCAAAAAGAGTGTAACAAAGAAAAGAACAGAAACTCTTCAGTCGTGCCATGTAAGAGTTTAAAATCAGTTTGGCTAGGGTTAGTGTGTCCATGTTTTATAAACTGGCCTTTATGTATTATATAAAGAGGCAGCTACTAGTAAGGAGACATTATGTTTAGTGTAGCTAAGCGAGTTTGAGACAAGAAGATGCAGCAGCTCGTAGTGCTACCAAATCACTCCACCTACATGACATGAAATCTAGCTTTGATTCACCTCACCTTACAAGAATGTGCTTATTTCTACCATATTTCAACTTAGAAATAATACCAAAGTTGTCATCACTGTGGCATTAACACTCCTTTAAAATTTACCTGGATTAATCTGTATAACTGGTACTGCACCATTGAATTATCCTGACTATGAATCCCGTGCACTACTGATTGGTGATGACCCTTGTACAAATACCTCAGGACAAAACAGAGGACACTGTGAATGCACTGCAGACACAGACATGGGTGAGCACTGGAGAGACATATCACTAGACCACTGTTTCCTATGACTTCCATGGGGAAAAAGGTAGGGGATAAAGGGTTGGAAAAAAGAGTAAAGGACAACATATTGGTATTCAGTGTGGGAATATCAAACCTGACATATCTGGCAGTACATTTCAGTATTCTTTAAGTGATTTGCTATGAAAACCTCTCCCTCAGTAACATTTCATTGTTACATTGCCCATGGCCTGGATATGTGCAGCAAAATTTCATGTTATACTCTGCCTTCCCTGAAAACATCTTAGCTTTTTTTTTTAAACATACTATATTGGCAAGCCTTAGAACAGAGCAGCAGGGAGATGTGTTATTCACTAAGTAAATCATGGAAAGAGCTGTTGGTTCCTGTATATACTAAAGTGAATGTACTATTGTTTTTTCCATATGATAGCTGAGCGAGCTCGAGTGGGTCTTGCACCTTTGCCTGGAATGAAAGGAACAGATTATATAAATGCTTCTTACATCATGGTGAGAGTCAACCCTGAATCATAAATAAGCCCAATTAAACTGAACGATGTGAAAGAGCAGATACCACCTATGTGACTGATTTCACTTCTGAAATAATTTCTCTATGTGTAATATCAAAACTATAGAGATTTCTACATTTTGAGACTTTTAACAGAAGATTGCCAAACAGTAGGAGTATAAAAATGCCTAAATGAAGCAAAATGCTTCTTACAGAATTTACTGTTAATTTCACCCATCTAGTCTTTGAATAAATGTTGAAATTACTATTAAGGAAAGCAGCAGGGGTGACTTCAAGTAAGTTGCATGTGGAGAGAAAACTGTCTCCACAGTGTTAGCAGAAGTACATCTGAAAATTACTGAATGCCTTTATCAGTTATTTTAGTGTGGTCAAAACAATGCTGTTTTGTTTCATGAATTTATTTTACTATCACAAATTAAGAATAAAATACCCATAATCACTGATTTTTCCTATTCCAACTGCAGGGATATTACAGGAGCAATGAATTTATTATAACCCAGCATCCTCTGCCACATACTACGAAAGATTTCTGGCGAATGATTTGGGATCATAATGCACAGATCATTGTGATGCTGCCAGACAACCAGAGCTTGGTGAGTAAGGCACATCTGCTGTATGTTAATGAGCCCTTGACACTAGGAACATAAATGAGCATAAATGCCTTGGATACCACGCCATAGAGCTAAATGGTTTGTGAGGGAACATACACTTGAAGACCGTATAGATTCACTTCATAGAATTACAATACCAACCCTCCCAGTGCCATTACCCTTCAGTTGTACTTTATTGTGGCATGTGGTAGAAGATTTTGAAAAAGATTCTTTTAGTGGTTTCATAGTAAGACTATAGACTGATTTCCTATCTGCCATATGGCATTTTGGACAGACATAATTAACTCAATTTTCACAGGTACCAGTACTAGTACTATCTCACTTAATAGCTGAGAAATTTGAGGCAACTAACTTGCCTGAGAGCACACAGAAACTACTGGAGCCAAGGATAGGACCAGAGTCATCTGTCTCCAAAGTCCACATTTTTAATCATTTTACTCTAAATGTTCCACTCCACAACACGTGAACATTTTTCAGAAAAAGTATTTTATCAGAAGTACTAATAATGTTTATTCTTTTTCCTGTTGTATAGTCAAGTCAGACACGCTGCAGGCAAGTGATAGGAAAGGCTGTTCGGGTATAACCTACAGAACTCTTTAAGACCTCGACGAAACAACTGTGTCTGTCCCCTGCCTTAGTCCTTCTCTGTTGAAGTCTCTGAACTATGTAGGAATCTGTGGGCAAATTTATGAAATAAGCTTGAATGAACTGCATGCATCCTTAAATTTCAGAACTAGCTGGGTCTTGAAACGGTACTGTGTGGACACGTGAGCCCATAAAATAAAGGTGAAAACAAAAACAATGAGACTCTGCCTTCATGAGTGTCAGAACGATAAGTATTTTAGTGGGGAAGGAACAGCATGTGATTGAACCCCTAGTCTGGATGACATGCATTTGACTGTGTGCCCAGTCAGTAGGAACTTCTTCACTGTCACATTCTGCTCCAGCTTCAGATACCAAGGCTGCTTCTGTATGATGGAATGGCAACCAAGTGCAGACTCGCAAGCTAAATGCTGGAGTGCAAATTTTCAAATTAGCTGGCAACAAGGGCCTGTTCTCTTTGGCATGAGGAAACTGGAGGCATTCAGGGTTGTCAAAAATGTTCATTTGTTGAATGAGTCAGTATTTTGTTACTGTTACCTAACCCCAGAGGATAGCCACCATAAAGCCTCCACAAAGGCGCTCATGTCTGTGGAAAAGGCTGGAGGGAGAGTGGGGTACGTGTTCTACAGAGTGAGGACACAGGGGCTGCCGTCCACCATGTCAGCCCAGTGTCCGAAGCGAGGCTAGATGCGTGCATGTCTGCTTTTCAGCTCCTGGATCCGAAGTTTCACCATTGCAGGTTTTCCTAAGAAGTGTATCTCTAGATTACTCTCCTCACACTATGTATTACGCTGCTGCTGTACAAGACTACACATCTGTAAAGACAGGCCCAAACTCAGCGGTCCCTAACTTGGAAGGCACTCTCACCAGTGCCTGGACACCTCTGATCTACAGATACATTTGTCAGCAAAATGACCGCGAGGCCTGAATGCCTGCTGAACAAAGAAGTAGCATTCAATGTTCTTGGCCTTTCAGTGAGAACAATGATCGTCAGGTTCAGTTTATTTATTCAAAAGTCTTTTCTGCTTTTCCTTTCACCATACGTGAAATCTGTTTGGGACCTTTTAAACTAGTTAGATAATTTCCTATTCAGTGTTACCATCCTAACGTTTCTGTGCAGTACCAAGTTTTATTATTCACTCTTTTCAAATATGGAAATTAAGGCTCAGAAAGATTAACAAATTTATTCAGAGTCACATCCAATCCTAACCTTATGCATAATCTGTACATAATTGATTAAATTAAGATGTTCTGTCCATCGTCACTTTATATCTTGAATATTTATGTGGCCATACTTCCATTTCTTTGAATAAAATGTATTAAAACTGAAAAGATTTAAGACTTTTGTACACATTATACCTGTTGTTAATCTGTTTCCCCTTACGCTGAGCTTTATAAATAAAAATGTACTTGGCAGTAAGCTCTATTAAAACATGAAAGGGTGATAAGTCTTATTGGACTGTTGCTTCATTTCTAATGCAACGGTGCAAGATTAAACAAACCTTTCTTTGATTTGCACATTATTCAGAATTATTTCAGATGTCAATGACAGTAGCTAGGCATTTTCAGGAGAATGCCTATAAAAGTCTACATCCTACAAGCAAACTAGAGTTTGCTCTAATTTGTCATTTGCTCTAATTAGAAAATGGGGAAGGGTGTACATGATCATATTTCTCACAGTCTCCAACCTCTGTGACAATTTTTTTCTTAGGCATCATAGTTTCCAGGGATACAATTCAAGTACCAATCCTGAGTATCTCTTTCTTATCTTAAAATGAATGAACATGTAAAGCTTGCCTCATTGAAAGATGACTTTTTGTTATCCCCTCTTAACATCTGAGACTGACAGGTTAAATTTTCTTTTAATGAACACCTTGTACTTAACATGTTATTTATGCATAACTTCTTTCCAAAAAGGCTGTCCTTTGCTACTTTTACCAATGTGATTTTAGACAACTTTGGACACTTCTGAGGATGTCTTCATTTATGAAGGCAGATAGTGAAAAATCCCTTATTTAGGGACCGGTATTGAAAATTTTAAAGGATACAACTCAGTAGTAAAAAAATGAATGTCCCTGATAAGAAATGAGCAAGAGACCCAAACAGATATATCTGCAAATAATATATAAAAATGACCAGAAAATATATAAAATGATGCTGAATAGTATTCATCATCTGGGAACTGCAAATCAACCTCACAGTGGCTTAGTGCTTTGTATCAGGATGGGAGTTACCTAGAAATCAAATGACAAGGGTGGCGAAGGTGTGGAGAAAAGGGCACTCTCACACTGTCACTGGGACTGTAGGGTGGCACAGCCATTATGGAAAAGAGTCTGGAGGTTTCTAATGAAATTAAAACTAGGACTATCAGGACTTCAGATGCAGCTCACTGGCAGAGTGATTGCCTAGCACACACAAGGCCCTGGGTCCAACCCAAACTAATGGGGAAAAAAAAAATTTATCATGTAGCCTAATAAAATAAAGTCACCACCATGTAAAGGTATCTGACTGTCTAAATGTCCATGTTAACTGCAGCATCATTTGCAGTAGCCAAAATAGAGAAACAACCAGTCTGCCAGTGGACAAACGGTCAAAGACACTATGGTAATTAAACACAAGGGTATATTATCCAGTCCTAAGAAAGAATGGGATCTTGTATTTGCCAGTGTGGATGACCATGGAGAGCATCATACTAAGAGAAATAAGCCAGATACTAGAAGACAACTAATACACAATCTCACCAAGAAAAAAAGCAATAGATTCAAATGTGTAGGGAAAACAAAATAGTAGTTATGGGATGAAGAAAGAAATAGGAAGATATAAGTGAAAGGATACAAAGAAGCAGACATGGAGAATGGAAACCCCTAGAGAGGTAATATATAACATGAAGAGTACAGGTAATTATGCTATGGAATATTTGGAATTTATGTTAGATGAGATTATTACTTGCTCTTCCCACCAGAAAACTATGTAAAATAGTGCATATGCTAATTTATTTGACTATAAGGAACGCTTTTACTATCTCTGTGTGTATAACATTGTTCTGTATACTTTCTATACAATAAAATGTATTTTAAAGACATTATTTTACTAACGTATTTTAAAAATTCAGAAAGAAAATGTTTATGAAGGTCTTCTGCAAAATGGCACTCCACCATACAATCGTTAATATACTCCATGGGAACAACACATAGTCATGTCTTGATTGCTTAAGCAACTGTGAAATAATAAAATCAATTGACCTAGAGGTAATCTCCTTTCCTAGTATGCTACTTACTGTCCAGAACAATTATCAGCTAACAGTAATACCTCCCTACAGAGCCCATGCTGGGGTTGATACAGTGACAGGTGAGAGGTGCTAGGAAAGGGATATTATCAAAACATAGTTATGCAGTAAGAAACACGACCCACTGAGCTCAGCATGACTAGGTGGGGGTACAGTTCAGACGACTAATTAAAAGATGGCTTGAGAGATAGAGAAAATGGCAGAATAAAGAATCATTTTGTAAGAAAATTGAAATACTTTTTTTGGTTCTCAAAGGCAGAAGATGAGTTTGTCTATTGGCCAAGTCGAGAAGAATCCATGAACTGTGAGGCTTTTACTGTCACCCTTATCAGCAAAGACAGACTGTGCCTCTCTAATGAAGAACAAATTATCATCCATGACTTTATCCTTGAGGCAACACAGGTACGCTGTATCTCACTTCCTCCCTACTAGCCATACTGGGGCCCTGAATCATCCTTTTAAGTACTAGCGGATTAATTTACTACTCTCAGGGGCCTAGGCGTTTGAGTAAGATTTCATTTTAAATATGTACATTTCCCTTTCTTCTTCCTTCAAATATTTGCTTTTTCAGCTGACAAGATGGAAGGTAACAGTTCCTCTGATTCCACATGTGTATAAATAGATCTGCTGATCTGGTTATAAAAATAATACACTACACGTCAGTATTTTCTTTGCCATCCGAAATGTAAACCTTGCAGTATGTTGCAAAGATGATTAAGGACTTTTTCATAAACAATACTTTAATGTCTAATAACTGCCATCTGCAGAAAGGGTAAAGGAGGAATCTCTCATATTAGTAACTTAAATGACACAGTAATATATTGTTTCACTGGTATGACGTACTCATTTTTCTATGACAGGCAGACTTCCTTTGTATTTTTCTTCTAACCTGTGGTTTGGGCAACCTCGTACTGTTCACAGTTGTCTATAATATGTGCTTTCTAAGTTGCAAGTTCCACTGAGCTGACTGTAGGCATTTGACATACAAGATGCACTGTGACTGGTGTTGTGTTGGTTATAGGATGACTATGTCCTAGAAGTGCGGCACTTCCAGTGTCCCAAATGGCCTAACCCAGATGCCCCCATAAGCAGCACCTTTGAACTGATCAATGTCATCAAGGAAGAGGCCTTAACACGGGATGGCCCCACCATTGTTCATGATGAGTATGTATCTTTTCTTCTTCATTTTAAAATTCAGGCATAGCTTTAATTGAATTGCTATAAAAGTAGAAAGACAGAATTTTATAAGTGCCTTTTGTCGGTTTGTGAAAAATACACGTTATTTCTAAGGTACAGATGTGCAAACTGGTGTTCTCTGTACAGTGTTTTAGGGGTTGGGGAGCCGTTGAGACAGAGATTCCATCTTCCTGCCTCAGCCTCCCGAGTGCTGGGATTAGAGGCAGGCCCCACCATACCGCACTCTGCACATTTTAATAGGTCACACTCTGCCAAGGCTCCTGGCTCTCCTCTTGATATAGTCTTGTGAATGAAAAATAGTGTCTTTCAGTCTATAAAGGGAGCTGTGCACACTTTTTGTGCTTTTATGTTTCAATAACATATAATTAATTTAATTGATTGGGCTGACTATTTACATTAGTTAGGTGCTTTTATTTGAAAATCCGTATACTGAATTTCAGCAAACACTGGCTAGGGAAGGAAGCTTTCAGAAACACAGTTGATTTGAGTAGGAGGAATGAAGTTACTATTATTAGTAATAAAGATGTTTACAACTTATAATAGGATTTTAAGCTTACAGTACTGTCTTTTGGTATTGAAAGGTAAAGACTATGAATCTCACCAAGAACAAATTACTTGTGCCTGGTTTTAGAGCTTCTAAGTGTGAGAATGGTACTGTAACCCAGTCTCTTTGGCCGGGGATGTAACTCAGTGGTAGCGTACATACCTAGCATGTACAAGGCCCTGCATTCAGTCCCAGCAACCAAAACAAAACAACAGCAACGACAGAACCAGCCTCTTTCCACTTTAAAAAGAGGGAAAGGTCACTGGTATACCTTGCAGTGTATGGATATGTGAGTCAGACTTTGTGGCTGGATCAGCCTGTAAGCACTTGTAAAACCCTGGGTCATTTACAATCACTCAAACCTTTAGCCAATATAGCACCCTTTATACATGCTCATTTCTGTTTTCCAGGTTAGCTCCCTTCGTGAGCAAATTCTCAATGTACCTATTATGTTCATTAAATTACCAGCTATTCTAACAGCATGAGGTATTAATAAATTAGAAAGTAAAGCTTATTGTTAACCCTTTGTTTTCCGTGAACTAATGCTGCAACATGAAGTACACATAGACTTCTAGCCCAGAGTAAACACTATACAGTACCTTCCTAGTTGTCTTTAGTCAGTTTTATCACCCATGAAATCCTGGCTGCTTCCAAAGAGTTTTGTAGTCTTTCCTAGGTAATAGTGAATATTTCAAACTATTGGCCTATCAGTAGAATTAAAAATCAAGATTAGGAAAGTATTAGACTGGAAGCTTTAATTAACTGCATGCTAAGATTTAATTCTTCAAAATGTAACACACATCATCTGGAGTCCAGTACCAATGTAGTTCTTCTCAGGAGAAAGCTCCTGAACTCAGTCTTTATCAAAGCATTTCTATGAGCATTCTGGTCTTCAGAGCTCTGGTCAGAAGCCTCAGGCCTTCCAGCTCTCCTTTTTAAGCTGGAATCACCAAACCTTTGCTAACTCTTCCTCTTCCCTCAAGCCAGTTCCAGAGGCTCTTGAGCCACATGGCCAGGTAATGTCACAGCAGCAACCCCACTTCTCTGAGACCAAAGTGTGTCTTAGTTACTTTTCTCTCACTGCTGAGGCAAAATGCCTGACACCCAAAGTCAAAGGGAGAAGGGCTTATTTAGCTAACAGTTTGTAGCGGGTTCAGTCCATAATCCGCTGGCTCCAAGGTAGGGCGACTTGGCAGACGGGCATCGCAGAGAATAGTTCATGGTGCCTACAAGGTAGGAAAAGTAACAAGAGACCTTAACAGCATCCTTCTGCCCCTTATACTGTATCCAGGCTACCAGTTTTAGGGTGGTGCAAAACCAATCAGTGGACTGATTTAGTACTCACAACCCTTAGTTCTAACACTGCACCATGCTCAGTCACACACTCTAGAGTCAGCGGCCTCTGGAAAAAGCCCCAGCTGTGACCACATGAGAGGGACATCTAGACACAAGCCGTAACGTTCCACCCCGGCTCCCCAGAGACTCACGCACATCCCTTTATGCAAAAGGCACGTTTTGAGTCCATCTCCAAGAGTTGCCAAAGTCATAACAGTTTCAGCATTGCTGAAAAGTCCAAGTCCAGAGTCTCCTCTGAGATTTAAGGCAAACTCTTCGAATCGCATTATTCTGGAACACTGAGGCAGGAGAATCACAGGTCAAGCCCAGCCTGGGCAATTTATAGTGTCTCAGCAAGACCTTGTCTCAAAATAATAAAAAAGGGCAGGGGATGTAGCTCAGTGCAAAGGTGCTGCGTTGGATCCTCAGTTACACAAACACACACACACATACCACACACACAGCTCAAATCTAAAGTCAGACATGTAGCTAATCTTGTATTACATGGTAGCAGGGGAGAAAACCGTAAAAAGCCAGTGAAATACTAGGCAGAACAGTTTGATTCCTTATCTGTGTTCAGCTTTTGTGTATTTCTGTCACATGCTGAACATGTCACCTGTGGAGTGAATCAAATGTAGATCATTCTTCAGCCTAAATATGCAAAGAAACCAAATTAAGCCCAAACCAGTCCATCTGGAAATGTCATATAGATAGGCTCATTTAAAAGCCACTGTCAAAATGTTAATTTTTTGCCTATCATGTCTGGGGAATATGTTGACTTTTTTAGAAATGGTTAATGTCATGTGTATTGTTATCTTTAAAGTAGTTGCTGAGATTACAAGATACATGAGATTACAAGATATGAAAAATTGATCAAGTAATACAAGCACACATCATTCTTTTCATTGAACTAACGGAAATTAGTAGTATAATTATCTTAGCTATCTTGTGTGTGTGTGTATATAAAATATATATATATACATATATATGCACATCTCCTTTCCTCCATCCCAGTTGTTCTTTCCTTCTGCGCAGTTTCTTCCCCTTTCACAATATCCATTGTACATTTTGGAACTTATTTACTCTTTTAGTTTCTTACAGTAGGAAGACAGTACGATCTTTATACATGCAAGTGTGATTCATTTCACTTACGAGTATGGTTTCAGGTTGTAACCATTTACATATAAAAGCCTTAGTTTTATCCTACTTTTTAGCACAGTAGTACTCCATTGTATAAAACTACATCTTTGTTTTTGTCCATTCCTTGGATGATGGGCATTTAGGTTTTTTCCCAGATTTTCCTATTACACATTGTGCTGCCATAAACATGAGTACACGTATACTGCTATGGTGCAATGTTTTTAATTCTTCCAGGAATATACCCAGAAAGAGAATAGCTGACTTAAATGGTACCACTAATCTTAGTTTTTTGAGGAATCTCCACAGTGATTTCTACAGTAGTTGTAACAGCCTACACTCCCCGCAAGAGTTTAAGGAGGGGTTTTTTTCCCCTACAGCTCCACCAGCATTTTTTATTGGTTGATTCCTTCATGATATCCATTCTTTCTGGGGTGAGATAAGATAGCTTTGTTTAATTGGCATCTCTCAAAGGACTAATGATATTGAATATTTTTTCATATATTTATTTGTCATCATTTGTATTCCATCATCTGAGAAGTACATGTTCATTTCAGATGCCCTTTTTTTGGATTGGGTTTTTGAATTTGTGGGGGGTTGATTTTTTTCAATGTTTTATATTTTCTAGATAGAAGTCCTTTTTTCTGAGGGACAGTTGGCTAAATTTTTTTAGCAGTGTGTGGGTTATCTTTTCACTCTGTTGGTGATTTCTTTTAAAGTGCAAAAACTTTTCAGTAACATGAGATCCCAGTTGTTGATTCTTTGAAGTACTTCCTATACAGTTTGGGTTTTGTTCATGAACTCTGCCTACCCCTGTGTCTTCAAGATTTCTACCTACTTTCTCTTCCAGTAGATTTACTGTTTCTATTTTTTTAGATCTTTGATCCATTTTGACTTTAGTTTAGTGCATGATGATAGATATGGGTCTAGTTGGCATGGGGAAAGTGAGTTTTTCCAGTACCTTTAATAAAGAGGCTGTTTTTCTTCCAGTGAACATGTTTGGCTCCTTTGTCAAAGATAAGATGGCTGAGTATGTGTGTAGTTGTGTTTGAATCTAATCTGTTCCCTGATCCTCAGGTCTTGTTTTTTTGTTTGTTTTGTCAGTACCATGCTATTTTTATCATAGTACCTTTGTAGTATAATTAAGGTGATTTCATAGACATTATTTTTTCCACATTGGTCAAGGGTACGCTTTTTTTTGGTACCAGGAATTGAACTAAGGACCTTTTATGCTTGCCAAGCAGGCGCTGCACCACTGAGCTAAATCCCTGGCCCCTCAAGGGCACACTGAAGAGCTGCTAGTGCTAAAACAATTCCTTGAACACCAGCTAACTTTGAAGTTCCCATCTTACCTACTTTTGGTACCTCTGTACATCTCTTCCTAGTAACCTACAGATACGCCAACCTCCACATCCGTCGCTAAACCCATCATGTCCCCTGCCTGCCTCCATCCACTTAGTTTCACCAACCAGAAACACGTCAGAGTTCTTTTTGAGTCTCCCTCACCTCAGCATTTAACTGGAATCACATCTCATTGCCGGTATGCATTCTTTCAGTATACCTTTCAAATTCTTTGACACAGTCTGGTTTAGGTTATTTTTTCAGCTATCATCCTGGTCCTCCACTAGAGTACTGCCTACAGACCACCTTGCCCCAGCAAATGCTGTTTTCTCCAAGACTCCTTTCATTAAGCATTCATCCCAGAGATGCCAATCAAAATCATTAACATATACACTCTTGCCAGTGCACACCAGCTCAATGTCATGCATGATGTATGTCACAGTATAAGTGTTTGCATGTATGACTGCCTTTCTCTATTGCTGATGCCAGTGATGACGACTTATTCTTCCCAGTCTCCCATGCCTAAGAGATAATGGGCCCTGGATAAAGTATTTGCATGAACAGGTGCTGTGCTTTACATGATGGCTTACCAACTAAGTAGGATATGTAC